CCCCAAAACCCCAAAACCCCAAAACCCCAAAACCCCTATCCATGACTAAAAGTTGAAATTTAAACTTTGGAGGTTAAATTTATCATACACTTTGGTTTACTCCTCTTTCTTTGTCTTCTTCTTTTTTGATTTGGATTTCTTTTTGCCACCATCTTCAAGATCGCTCTCCTCAATAAGGGACTCAGATCCATTAGATTCGAGGTCTGAGTCTTCTCCTTCCTGAGCATCAATATCGAAAGATTCGTCTTCTCCCTCACTATCATCTTGTGATCCCATGCCTTCTAGTCCTTCCTCTTCAATATCGGCCATAGCTCTTCTGTTGACTCTTCCAGGATTGGTGAGGATGTCCATGTTTGTGAGATCCATGGTCTTTCCTTCATCATCTCCATTCCTGACCTTGATGTTCTTTGTAATGAGGTACTCGACCAGAGGCTTATACTCTCCTTTACTAATTCCTGTGAATGAGTATGAGTTATCTTTTGTGACAATATTAATGTCAAAGGACCTTCCTGCAGCAGCAAATTCACTGATTCTGTTAAATTCTAAGTATTTAATATCATCATGTCTGATGTATGCAACTGGCTTATGTACAAACAAGAATGATTTCAACAATGGGTACAAGTATCCGTCTTGTGCTCTTGAAGAGCATTTGACTGCATCAGTGTCCTTCTCGCTCTTGAATCCTGAAGGAACAATAATGCTAATTTTTATCAGTGATTTAAATAGTCGTGAAAGAATGTCATACAGAGGACCCTCAAGCTCTTGATTGAGTTCTTTTCCGTATTTCTTATTTATCTCTTCTTCTGAGATGTTTAGCTTCAGGCTTTCCTCTCTTTCTTTCTTGAACTGTATAACACAATAATTATGAGCAGTTTGACCCTGTCTCAATGGTGATCTGAGTGAGATAACATACATCATGTGCAATCCATCAGGCTTTGGCAGCAGGAACGCCCTGTTAATATCTTTGAACAGTATTTTGTAATCATGGGTTTTGCCGTGTAGCTTCAAATAATTGCTATACAGATTGAACACATAGTTTCCTCTAGGAACAAGCAATTGCATATTATCCAACTTGGCAATAATTTCTCCAGCAAAAGCTCCGATTCCCGCTTTCTTGATAATATTGTCTGCAAATTGTTGTGCTCTATTCTTTTGGTCTTTCTAAACAGTATAACTTCACTAAAATTACCTTTGCTTTGCCATTTTCATTTGTATTGATCTTCTCTTCCTCATCATTGCTTTGTTCTTTCTTCTCCTCTTCATCACCTCCCTCTGCTTCGCTTTGGTTGCTCTCTTCCTCATTTGCAGGGAGGAAGAATCTGATTTCAGAGAGATAGTCTCCCTTATCACTACATTATGCGATTTAGTAACGAAAAATTGATAAGTTCTAACCCTTGTGGAACACGAATATTTAGACCTAGTTCCTCGGCTAGAGCCTTGTAGACAGAATAATTCAAGTCAGAAGTTCACTTACCCTTCTTTTATCTTATCCAGATTCATTTCCACTGCTACTTCATGAGCATTATTAGCTGTGGCCAAGCTAATACCTGAGTAAGGGAGGTTGAGGCACTTTTCATCATTGACTTCAAATTTGAAGGCTTCTTCCTCGAAGGAATAGGTCCCCCAGTTCCATCCGATGATACTTTTCTTCTTCCCTTTTTCCATCTTTATGTATTAATTTTTTAGTACGCGGTTTCAGCTTATATATGAAACAAAGGGGTTTTGGGGTTTTGGGGTTTTGGGGTTTTGGGG